ATCAACCTGCTGGTATGTGCTCCTCCATACAAAGAGTCACACATGTATGGTACATAGAACTTTAAAGAACACGTAACATGGGAAATAGGTTGTTCCTTATATAAAAATTTTTTTTAAACATTTGAGCAAGTGTTTGAAGGAGTAGAACATGACTAACGGCTAATGCCCAAAGAAGGCAGACAAGCTTATGTATGTTTATTACTGTAAATCTATGTAAGGCTAACATGCTATGTTATTTTCCCCACAATGTAGAATAAATTACTTTAATTTATTGACAGATTATTATCAATAATCCCAAAAGATGGAAAATTGTGTTAAAATTCTAAAATAACTATTGCTTAATGCTAATTTGAGATAAAATTGACATAACAATCCTCTAGAGAAATAATACAATAACTTATATATGTATATTATTTTAAACAATAATCTCTATTAAGAAGACAATACTTTACATTTACTGAGGGATGTCACTCAAAGACAATATGCTGAATATTCAGTCTACATTAATATTAATTTTACTGCAGGAGGACAGTTGACACATTACAATGAGATCTGCTAATAAAATCAACCATCAAGCTCAAATACATACATATTAAACTAGGGTCTCAATGTCATTAGCTTTTTGCACCATTAACATTTTCCCACAGGTTCATTCAATACTTAATTCTTACTTAAATGTGTTTACAGTGAAGCAGAATTAAGTTTGTGTAAAAAGAGATATTAACAAATGTATATTATTTATTAAAACATCCTCCTTTTAGCAAATTATTTAATCTGAATCAAACAATGTCAGTGAAAGCCACTTGCCAAATTGATGCCATGTGATATATCTATACTCCAGAGGATCCACTTTCATTAGTAAAATGTAATGGAACTCAGTCAAATCAATTACAGCAATTCTGTAACAACATGGAATAAATGGAGCTAAACAGCTGCCATGTACTAGTTGCTTATGCATCAATACACCAGTTTAGTTTTCTACTGTGCTTACAAACACATGCTTGTTCACTGTCTGTAATTTGTCTCCTCATTATACACCAACAACAAACACCAGTTTCATGATTGCACATGCAGTCTCTCGCTAAAAACTGACATTTAAATCCTTTTCCACTAGCTTAGTAAACAATGGAAATGAGATAATTGATCATGTGCTGGGGGATCTCTGTGAGCAGCAGAAGGTCACCGCCCGCCAAGAGTTGATAGAGAAAATGGCATTGATGCTCCCGAGCTGCCATTTTTCTTCCCTGACAAAGACTCCATCTGCCACCAAGCCATTTGCAGCCTCCAAGTCAGAATGTCAATGATTTCCAACCATTCCACAACTCAGCGTTCACCTTGGTGTCACCTCTACACCGGTTTGAGCGCTGACATCACAGATCCTCACTGTGCAGCCCCTGCAGACTGCTAAGAAACCCCATTAAGTCTACGCAAGAATGGTAAGCAGTTTATTAGCATTGCTAATGTTAGTGTTTTTGAGATGTATGATGGAAAGCAGATGCAAGGTTTCAGAAATTCTGGTTCACTCAAAGAAACAACTAATTCATTAGATCAGCAGCGAAAATCAATGCACAGTGCAGCTGTGTACTGATAAAGTCAGGCAGACACTTAAAATCCCTGTTGTTCAATAAAGACTTCATGCCAACAGTAAAGAAGGGACAGCAGGCAGCTGGCCACGGCTGCCTAAGAAAATTCAATTTTCCTCAATGCCATCTGCACACCTCGGAGACGCCCTTGCAGGTCTTCAGTCTCCACAGTAGACCATGCCAGTGCTGTCCCAAATCCCAGGCATGCCTGACCTGTCACCTTAGAGGAGAAGCTCACATAATGAATTACACTTTATTGACGACGAACTAGCCTCTGTGACTGAAGCTGCCTGGAACTCTCTGCTAGTGGTTTTATGGCTGTAGAGCAGACATACTGTCTCTATATCCTAAATATCATAATTATATTCTTTAAATTAGCAGGCTGTATATCACCAAGTTGAGAAAAATAGAGTACGTCTGTGCATCAGCCTGTTTTTAAGTCACATAGAAATGCACCACCCATGGGCTACTTGGCTGTAAAGGACATGAAGTTCAGGGCACTTTGGTGCTAATGAGAGGCGTCTTTAGAGTTGAAATAAACATGCACACTTTCAACTGTAAACCAATCCACAAAACCATTCTACTTCCCCCTTCAGATGAGTGCTATATATTCAAAACATGTACAGCATTAAAACTATCTCTCAAAACAGACTGGGATTCAACCATATGTCTAAAGGTGACTTGCTGGATGTTGCTGCTAAATTTTGGACTTTTGTTCAGGTCCCTCTTTATTTGCCTTGAGAGAATCAAAAATGACTTCATCCTTTATTCAAGACAAGCTCATAAAACAGGTGAATCAGCACCATTCACCATTCCTGTAATGTACTGTCTGAAACAACCTATTGACTTTATGAGGCTAACACATATAAAATATCGAATGATCCTTGTATGATTCTCTCTTGATTTCCAGAGGAAAAGATGTTTCCCATTATTTCTAGACTTGTGAAGTAATACAGTAACCTGGTTTTTGTGATCAATTTTAATTTAAGGCAGTTTCCTCATAGGCCCTGGACAGTTTCAGGTTTGTGTTGTTTTATAGGTGCAGAACTCAGAATAATTGGCCATCAAACTGAAGAATGGTCACCTGACTGTCTTATTTGCAGGCTGTGTATTGAAAGATCTTTCATGTCAAGGCAACATGATGTAACCAGTGATTCTGGATTACCACACAAACACATCATGCACACGGCAGCTATTCATAGAAGCTTAATATCTCTGTATAATTATTAGACTGAGAACAGTCAGTGTCAATGCCCCATCCATACAACTGATACATCTCATACTTGCATCATTCACACGAGTCTTTGATTTACCATTGACAGAGTTCTTTCATCTCTTCACTTTTCTTTCCTGCATGTATTTCATTTCACCCTCTGGGCAGGAAAAAGAAGTGGAAAGAAGAGTGGGCTTTGATATTTACTACAACACCACATTATAATACCACAGCTATCAGTCCGCTCTTCTAGCAAAATCACAAAATATAGCCTGCTCTGTGAAGCTACACTATTAACTGAAGGTCATAAATATTTAAAAGAGAAGGGGAAAAATGTCATTTGCACAGCTCAACCTCTCTCTTTTATACACATAAAGAAAATACAGTACAAAATAATGATCCATATTAAATATGTCAATCACCAATCCATAAAGCTTTCCTCCCCCTCATTTAAGACCTAGATGTCAATCATGTAACTGCAAATCATGGATATTACGCTCAATGCCACTACAATCTAAAGGTTTATATACATATACTAAAAATGATAAAATAATTAACTTTTTTAAATTAACTCAGATTATTCATTTGAAATGTCAAAATACAATAATGTGTTTATTTGATTAGCATATAGTGTACTTTTTTTATTTGTCTTCTTTTTTTCCTCTATTGCATTGAAGTGCTACAGAAATAACGGGAGTGTATAGCAAGTCCCAGCCTCAAATTAAAGACTTAAACTTCATTTTACCTGATTACCGTTACCATTGTGTCACATTAACTTATTCTAGGTATGTGTGTTTTACATGTGTTGTATCGGGAGACTGCAATCATACATCAGCCAATGGACAACCAAAAGCACTGGCTGTCTACTTGCCATCCTAAAACCTACTGTGGCCCCTGTAGATAAACTGAAGGTTACCGGTAACAGCCATAATAAATCCTTGAAAGCTTCTACAACACCCTCACACGAAAGGGAGGGAGCTCAGCTTTACAGATGATGGGGTTCATGCGACCGTGCTCGTTTTTGCCATCGCCGTTTCAACTCGGCTTGTCCACACAGTGCTGCACATGACCTGTCCCTTTCCAGGGTCAGTCACATAAAGAGCGGGAGACTTTTCCTACTGTAGATCAAGAGTGGCCGTGTACATGTCATGAATTTCATGGCACAATTTCAGTATTCTTTGCTTCATAAAAATTAAGTGGGTAGTCCCGTACTTTCCCTTTCAGGACACTGTAAAAAGTTGAAAGAGTGAGGAAGTACGAATGAAGTCAGAGGAGGGAGGACACAGGAGAGAAAACTTTGCCCAAGGTACAGTACATGTGAGTAAAAATCGGTTTCGCCAACAATTCAAAAAGACAATTAAGGATCCAAAGTATTTCTTTTTAAGAATATTTCACTTACAACAATACTTTGATTTGAGATTTGTCTGCTTTGACACTGCTTCTTTAGAGAGAGAGAGCAGGCGCAATAGTTCCCATATACCTGTATATTCACTCTGAGGAAGAACTGTTTCATGATAAAAATCTCTTATCAATTCACACCTATTCTGACAGAGAAGTTAAAAAATTACTTTGCTTGCAAGACTGCAAATTAACTCACCTAATTTAGCAGTCTAAAGAAAACCATGTCACATTGTGACAGATTAGAGCTCAGGGTGAAGGGGAAGTGAATTGGATAAACCCACCACCTCTGTCTTGCGGCAACAATTTGATTTTTAATTGCAGCCAAGAAACATCTGTATAAAGTTACTATTTGTGGAGTAACCCATATTAAATTTTTAAAACAAAGCCAAACAATAGCCCCAGCCTCACCAATTAGCCCTGTTTAGCTCACAGTAATTTATCTTGAAATACCCTATAGTCTTAAAAAGTTTTCCTTTCTCCCCCAAGAGATTTAAATGTGTTCTGAAGCCTTGATACTCCAATCCTAAGACAGACAGAATTAATTAGATGCACACAAAATGGGTGCAGACCGTAATGCAGCACAAACTAATTTCATAAATTAGGACTTTGTTAAATTTCAGCCTAATTGGAGAATTTTAATCCTATGCTTAAATAATACATTGAAATGAGGTGATCAGCTCAGTCCAGCATTTTTGTTCATGGATGATGTTTTCCAGTTTCACAAAGCAAACTGGTTTTTCTAATACAAAAATCATACGGCACAGAAAAGGACAATGGAGTAGCTGGTGTAACCAGACACTTACTGTATGAGACTATCCTCAGTTCTGTGACATCCCTGCTCTGCACCTGAAACACGAAACAACAATGTTCAGATTTACTGCTTGATTTTATCGATTTACTCATTCAGCATGGTTCCTACATGAGAGCTCTGTGAAAATGGTAATATAGACTGGAGGAAAGGTGAATTATCCATTCTAAACATCAGCAAAAGAAAATCAAGCTACTGCTCCCAGCAAAACACACTGGGAAATGGAACATGACAAAAACACTTTGGAGAAATTGGATTATAGTCTAGAGTATAACAAGAGCAGTTATGGGGCTAAAGAGCCAACATCCTGTGACATTAGGAAACAAAAACATGTAAAGAACAAATATATTGACATAAAGACTGGTTTCTTTTGTTAAAACTTGTTCTTTTATTCTTATTCTTAAAAATAAAGTCCCCTTCCTAATAATATTCTGTTGTTTCTGTTAATACTCTGACAAAACAGGTTTTTATGATGTCATACACATATGTGAGGCAGCACAAACACTCTGACCTGCCACCACATGTATACTATTTATGCCAATACCATCTGTGATCATTTTGTTTGGAATGTAAAGAAATGAAACCTCGACCAAGAATCTTGGAATCAACCCTGGATCATTGAAATCCTTTCAAGTCTTTGTACACCACTTAAATAATCACTCGATCACAGACTCCAGGCTTTACTGCAACCATAAGAGTATTGATATCATGGTCCAGTATAGTAAATTACAACCATTTGACATCCATCAATAATGACCCATAAGGTTTTTATCTACCATATTATTAATTTAAAGTTGGAATTTATCTTACTGTAAAACCAGTCAGTGTTTCCCTTTACAATATCTGTACACCATCCCTCTCTAAAAACTGATTTCTGTGGGGTAAAAACATTGGATAGTCATTTGTTTGTTTGGCGTAATTTTGCATTGATGTAGATTTTTTTTTTTTTACAGCTGAAGCTCATGTTGTTACTCTCATAGAGTATCTTAAAATGGCTGCATGCCAACTCATAGTGTCATAGGAGTAAGCTTCTGTCTCAATGGACTAAAATCAGTTATCCACATATTAAAGGGAGAAAATTACAGACATTCCACAGTCCTCTATTGTGATTGTGTCAACAAATTACACGACCATGTCCTCCGGCTAAGGAAATAGAAGAATACAATTTTGCAAAAGTCTTATATAAAAAGGCAAACAGACATGAATTAACTTTCAATATTAGATTTTACACTGTTAGCACTTTGTACAACATATCCTTTCTTGAAGCGGTTGATTTATTATGATTAAGAATCTCAAAAACTACTGCAGGCCCCAACGTGAATTAAATCATCAAGAAAACCTGACAAGCACGGTTTATTTGCTTATGATTTTAGAAAGTATTTAACTTCCATTTTACAGGTTCACACATTCCTGACTGTCACAAATCTTCAAAACCTAATTGGGTTATGATCGCAGTGTAAATGGACTGCATTTGTATATCTTTTCAATTCTTATCGACCACTCAAAGTGCAAATTGTAAATTGCGGTTCAGTATCTTGCCCAAAGAGTTGTCTGACTCTGCACACCTCTGCATGGAGACTGAATGACCCTCTCCACCTCCTGAACCCACGTCTACAAAGACAGATACAATGCTTTCAGTAACATGAAGCTCACTTTGTGTCCTAATGACCCAAAACACTGATCCTTTTGAAGTGTCTAGCTGCAGGCGGAGGAAAAAAAGCAAAATGGCTCTGGATAAAATATCTGCCACTTTCATATTTTATTCTCTGATATAGGGATGCTGTTAACCTGCCTTGCTATACTTTCTGAATCAGCTATGAATATGACCGGTAAACACTATCTCTAATAACTTACAAATGTCACATCATTCACTCTCATCGGTAGCAGCAACACTTATGTGAGTCGGCATTCAGTTGCAGTTGTGTCATTTTGTAATATAAATATTGTTTTTCTACACTAGAATGATTCATTGAAAATCAACCATACAAAAGGTCTGACTCCATAACTGGTATGCTTATAAAAAAAATGGTCTGTTTACAGGAAGTCTTTGACTGCAAAGAGAAACCATCTCAGGTTATTCAGCTATCCATCTATCACGCTTGGTGTCATCATTTAAAGTACAGATAATGAGATTGCTCCCCCCGCCACCCCTCACATAAAGCTGTTTACTAGTCATGAGTAACAAATGGTAACCTCTGTACCTAGTCTCCTTGACAGTCCTTGACTTGAGTCTCTCAGCTTGAACATTTAGTTTGCTGCGACTGGGCCTGCAGCATCTGTCATTACCTAATTTGTTAATACCCCCCTCTCAGCTCCAGCAAACCAACACTGTCTCTTACTAATGCTGGTAATTCATTTTCTAATAATGGCAACATTCAGTGCCAACACAGACGGCAGTGTGACATTCAGAGAGTGCAGCGAAAAGAAAAGGTGCGCTGGTTGATGTGTATTCGTCTTGGCCTGTGTTCTAGGTTTGTGTCCCACTCCTGAGTAGCATTAACATTTCTATTATTTTCCAAAAATCAACCAGCTTGGTCAATATTCTTTGTCATCATGCACAGGTACATTTGGGATTAGCCAAATAAAAGGCAATGAACATTTTCCCTCATTACCTGTTTGATTAATACAACATTTTAAAAAGATGCTGTTAAACATAATCTTTGGTATACTGTGGTATTAGGGTTATGAATGAACTGTGTTAAAGCACACTCTTGAACACACTTTGATCAAAACTATTATCTATTAAACAATTTTTAAAACCATAGACAGGATCAGACATGTCATCCATCTTTATATACAGTCTATGATTAAAACTAATATGATCAATCTCTTCATATCCAGCAAAACTTCAACTCTAACTGAGAGGAATGAGCAAGTTGACTAGAGATAAGTGAGAGGTTTATAATGTCAATGCAAGAATAAAAGAGTTGCAGTATTCTCACTACAAGATGCGTAGCTGCTGTCTGCACTGTGAGGAAACAATTCTTTCAGTTAGCTTCAATGAGCCTTAGATTTTGGCCTTTGCTGATCCAGACATTTTTGGGGATGAATTACTTTTCTCCAATTTCCTATCAGGCCAGTGTGAGTTGGGTAAAAATTAAATATTTAAAAACGTGGCTGCAGCAGGATGCGTCAAGTGGGTAGTGTTTGTGACCAGATTTTAAATGCATGAGGATCAATAAAAAAGGGGGCTGCTGAGGCCCAGTCTTTGTGTGAGAGAGTGGAATGGTTTACAACAGCGGCAGGACAAAGGGTCTGCATTACTGTATGCATGAAGCTACCTGGCCTGGAATTATGAATATGGAGTTAAAATCATCCATGGCCTGGGAGTGGCCTGTAATTCCTATAGTGAAGTATACAAACACAAATACATACTAAACAGCAATAGCATTTGAAACATCTGCTCCATTAGCGCAGCGGGGAGACTCCAGTCTCAGAGGCATCATGGGTTAGGATAAGCATCTCCAGGCAGAGAGAAAATAGACCAGGAAGATGAGTGAAAAAGAGTAATCACCCTGACATATTCCTAATAATCCACCTCCCTCGTGCCGCTCCCCCCAAGCTCACCCAATCATAAAGTGTCAACACTGACCTACAAAAAGGGAATCCTGTCAAGCCTTACATGTTTAAAAAACATCAATCACAGCAGACAAAGAGGGTGCATTGAATTATACAGCATTAACCTTCAGGGCTTGCATATAAAGACCACAGATTTATTTATGCTTGTGTGTTAAGAGCCTCTGCACTGTTCCTTATACAGCGAGCCGGCTGCCAAATTGATGAACCAGCTCAGCCCTCAGCAGGACTCCAGCATCTTTGATTAATGAGTGCAAACTTGTGGAAAGGGTAAGAATAGAGAGACAAGGGTAAAATGGGTGAAAACACAATTATTAGCAGGACCAGATTTTTTTTTTCTTTCTTTGGCCTTTTCAAACGGCCAAAGGAAAGGAGGACACTTTAAAAAGACGCACAGGGACATAAAATGGGACCATCTCATATTATGTAAGAATATACCAAGATGTGCATGAAAAATCTGAGCAGCAAAGCATGTTTACTGTGATTCCCATGTGAAATATGAGTAATGAAGCAATGGTGATCATTTCAACAAAAGAAAAACCCAGATCTGTTACACCTACAAACTAGTGGTTCTACAGAGAAACACAATACACCGTTTTTAGTCAAGTGGCACATCTCTGGAAAACTGAAAGAGACTTATTTTGCAATTTGACTGCTAACATTTAAGAGTGCTCTTTTATGGATTTTACCAGCCACAAGCTACATTTTATTTCTGCGCATGGAAGAACAAAAGCCTGCAATATTTTTTTTATCATTCAAACGGCAAGATGCTGACGCTTTTGATTTTACAATGTTAAAAGCAGAGTACACATCGGTTAAACACTGCTCTGTCTGCAGAGCTTTTCAAGGACGTGAGCTCTGAATAAATATGAGGCAAAATTTAGTGACCTTCTACCTGTGTTTTGATTCATTGGCAGTTACTAGATGCATGCATAACACATCAAGGCTGTGATCTGATTTATCTCGCTGCCTTGGCAACTGAAGCCATTTAAATGATGAACTTCATCAGGAATAATGTTTACTGCCATTTCACGTAGACTGTGTGTGTGTGTGCAAAGGGCACACGCTGGTTCATTACTATCAATTATATCTGTAAAAGACAACAAATCAGCTCCACTGTGCAGCAAAACCAAAGCTGCTGCACGCCAGAGCAAAGTAAAGGACAGACGTTAAATTAATGCGATCACAATAAGCTCAGTGGTGCAATCTGGACTGGGTGACTTCACAGATCACAAACTTATTTGATAGAGCCTAATAAAAGTTAATTTCCAGAGAAAAGATCTGGTCTAACATTGTTTAACATTCACAGGCCTTTTTCACAAAATCCTTTCAACATATGACAGTAAGAAAAGATCACTGCAGGTGGACATAATAAAATTGTCAATGGCTGAATTTCATATCATTAGGTTCAGGGTCCTGGCACTGGCTCACTGCTTTCATGGCTTGCTGGAGCAGTCTCCTGTGCTTTCCCAACGAAGACAAGTCAGAAAATGCCTATTGTTGTTTATCTCAAGCATCTTAATTCATTTCAGGGGCAGTCAGTGGTAACCTTTAAGACAATGCCCTTAATATTTCACCTTATTCACTGAAAATGAACAAAAACTTTCTTTGGTTTTCCAAATGTGCCAATGTGGCATATGTGGCTGACCATGATTCAAAGAAATCTCAAAAGCAGGGCCATTAAAAAACATTTAGTGCACATCAAGGTGATTCAAATGCCCCAGTTTCTGCACTGGAAGTTTGGACTTGTGGCACATTTTCAGGACAAACTAAAACTAAACCAAAATGTATGGCATGTCATCAAAGACGGATAAAAGCAGCTGTTTTGCAGTTTTATAACACATCCAACCAGACCTCCACACTACCACAACACCTATAAGATTCCTGTGTTTAAAACACTTCTTCCTATTTCAGCTCAACAGAAATCCAGCTTCTATCTTTCAGATCTTTTCTCCTTGAAAGTTTCACAAACTTCAGGGCAGATCACTGCAGTTTACGGTGCTGATTTTAAATAGCCCAAGATGGCGAATGCCTTGTTGTTTTAATATGAAAGCAGGGGAAAAAATGGAGGGTATTGTCATAATCTCAGAGGGTAAATTTCAGCCCAGCCCGCAGCTGCTGCATTAGCTGCGCTTTGCTTTAAGAGGAAGCCACAAAAGGAGAAGACAGTGAGGAGGGGGAGAGGAGGAGGAGGAGGAGGAGGAGAGCAGCCCGGCTCCATAACACTGTGACAACACAATGAAAGAGGAAGAAGATAACACGTAAAGAACACACACCTGTGTTTTATACAGTTACTGGATCATATGAGAACGTGTTGTCACAAGAGGCGTCAAACCACAACAAGGCAGCCTCACACTCACCCACTACTTTTCTCTCAATATGAAACACAAGCAACGTGCTGTGTGATTTAAACCTTCCACATTCTGAGGAAATCAACTTCTATTTTCATCGTCCGATCGTTTACGTTTCTGGTGGATCCGCAGCTGGCGACAAAGATCCACGCTGCGGCTGCGAGGAGCGGACAACACGGAGCGCCGCTGCCCGCCTGAGAGCACCAGAGCACCCGCTGGCGCTTTAGTTCCTCAACTCGGCGTCGGAGCCGGTGTTTTTAATCACCAAGTTACACTTTCGACAGATAAATAGTGACACTTTCGACAGATTCCAAACCGAAGTACGTCTGAAAACCTCGCGTGTACTTAGATATCAACTTTCTCCATCACGCTGCTGAACTCCGCGGGGCGGAGGACGCCTCGATGTGGCAAGTGTTCGAGGGAAGGATGGTACAAAGCTAGGCACCGACAGCTTAGCTAGCTGTTAGCCACAAACCTGTGAATGAACGCCACTGAGCGCTAACGTCCAGCGAAGCTAATGTTGCTAATGTCCCAAAGAGAAGGAGGAAAAAAAAAACCCAATTAGACTCACCTTACCGTTGGAAATCTGTGTTCTCATAAAAATTCAAAAGAAAACAGAGGACGCCGCTAATTTACTCCCCAGTTGAGCGCAGTTGGAGAGCAGCAGAGAGAGGTAAATGTGGAGAGGTGGCGAGTTAATTGAGTCCGGGTGAGAGTGACTGGATGTGTTGCTCTCTGGTCGCAGATTGAACACAGTCTCTCCTCCGTCTCATCCAGGCAACTCAAGAGAAGTGACGTCAGCTCGAGGCTCCTACAAAGCAAACTTTTGTTCTCAAACCTGCAGCCGAGCAAGTGCATCATACAAACTGACAGAGCAGACAGCAGCAGCCCTGCAGCAACATGCACCAGCAACAAAAACACACATGAGTTAATAATATATAGTACTGTAACACATGTTATTTAAATAGTACTTTTATAGCAAGTGCATCATACAAACTGACAGAGCAGACAGCAGCAGCCCTGCAGCAACATGCACATGTAGGAAAACACACGAGTTAATATCATAGATATTATTTTCCCTATTGTGGTTTTTCAATATTTCCAAGTGAAAAAAGAGAGTAGAAATTAAAACCAGAAACACATGAAACCATATTTGTAGCATGTACACATTAACATGACAGCACTGAGCCTTTACATTGAGAAATGGACATACAAGTGTAATATTGTCCTGAATTAAATAAAATGAAATTAATTTAAACAAAGCATGGTTAATATAAAAAATGTGGCTACATGGAAAATATAAGATAAGATAAGATAAGATGAGATGACATGACATTTAACCCAAGTAACAAAAGATAAGACAAGATTGCAAGCGGATGGTAAAAGTAAATAAAAAGTGATAAATAGGTCAACATGCAATATAAACATAAAGACTAATACAAATTAGAAACAATACACACAGTGTATGTATGATTACACATAAATACATTACCATTGTTCAGACAATAACATTGAAATTGCACTGACAATGGAAGTATTGTACAGTTTAAATGAGATTACACCTGATCTAATTATAAGTGCTATTGTTTGTCAGGATTCTGGTGTTTGTGGACTATCGGGAGCGTGACTCATTGTCTGACAGCAGCTGGAAAAAAGACCTGCAATACCACAAACTGCTTTGAATGTGTGATTTATTATGTGTTTTCTATTTCTTTTTCTGTAGTTATTGGTTTTTATTTGTGTTTCTATATTTTTAACCAATGCAAAGTGCTTTTGAGTATTTTTAAAACTTCTATAATAAATTATATTATCATTTACTATTACTGCATTACCTTACATCACCTCAGATGAACATGCCTGTCACTGAAAGGCGCTGCCTGGTGCTGACATGGTGTTCTGCAGAGGGTGATGATGGTGCAGACATCATCAAAAGGGTGTTAATTGATGAGGTTTTTTTTATTGTTGCAACAACAACAACAACATTATTCTCCTCATAACTCTTTTGACTGCATGTATGTACAAACATCTTTGTAGCTCTAGTTTCAGGTGCTTTTAATTTCCACCACATCCCTGCTGAGACAATGAAAACACTTGTCTGCCCCCAACTATCTTTTTAAATATAAAATTTTAAAGGTTTACACTTAGAGGCCTTTAACTTGATTTTAAGAAGATGCTAAGCTGTATTTGTCACCACGTCTTGGTGGTGTTTAATCAAAGTAAGTACAAAATAAAGTTTGGAGGACATGCTGCCAAATACATTTGGTGGTGCCGCATACACTCTCATCTTGTTTTGTAATTAATAACCAAAGGCAGGCGCAGCAAGTCTGGCTTTGACGATGAGGACAAAGTGCAGAGTAGTGCCTGAAAGTAAAACTGACATTAAGACAAAGGAAAGATGTCTGTTTTCGAAGATTCAATGGTGCTTTGATAAGTAAAGCAGTTCAGTCTTTATTCTCCTGTAAGCTTTGTAAAGTTTGGTTTGAATTATGGCAAACACTCACACATTCATTCAGCCACAAAACAGTATGATGTCATAAATTAGAAAGAAGGTAACATGTAATACTAAACCAATAAATAAACTTAAGGTGACACGGTGACAGGGATGTTAATACAGCGCAACAGTGTTGGGAAATCAGGATTATTTTAATCAATTTAGACTGCAAACAGAGTGATGTTAATCCACATAGTTAAAAATGTACTTTTGAATGAATTGCAACTGTCAGTGTCTATGTCTTCATCCTAGAAGAGAAGCTCAAACCCTTTATTTAAGATTAGGTGTGAATCAATGTGAAATATGTTTGTCTCTTGCCATACTCTTCTATTTTGTCTAATTGTGTAAATGTGTGAAGTGCTGCGGTCAGACAGGGACCAAGTGGAGCTTCGAGTGTGATGCGGAAACTGTCAACAAGACATTCATGTTATAAATAAATGAGTTATTCAAGACTCCATTTGGCCAAGGACTACCATCTGCCTTTCTTTCTGATCATTAAGCAAGCTTACATTTGGCCACAGACGACACAAAAGGGGGTGCGTTTGATCATTGTACTGAAACAGACATTTACAACACAGTGTGGATGGAAACACTTTGGAAGTCTATGACTAAAGTAGTGCTGTAGATGGCAAATAATATAAAACGCTTGCTTTTATTTTTGCTTATAATGATACAGTATGTATATGTTTGCCTCTGGGAGATAAGGACTGAGGAAAGGTGTCATTTTGAATTACTTTTTGAATTTGCACTAATTCATTATGTGTTTGATGTGTCTTTCCTAAAGAGAAACAAGAAGCTGCATTTCAGTGGATTTTCATTTAAAGCTCTGCCCCTGTTCACACATAGCACATTGTACACAAAGTTGTACTAATTGGACACGGTAATTAAGGCACAAAGGCACGTCTGAATTAAAGATGTGGGAGGCAAAAAAAAAAAACCTTGATCAGCATTTGTTTTTTAAAACAGGCTTATTTGCTTGTTCACTGTCCCTTGTGCTCATTGATTTTTCTCTCCCACGCTTTAATTCTTGTGTCATTGTAGATGCTGCAGTCACAGGAGCTATTGAATTGAATGGACTGAGAGAAACACACATGCCCGCCTGGATGAACACACACAGGCTGAGGGAGGGAGAAAAATATGATTTGATAAATTTGTCAGCCGAGCCACAGGATACCTGGGTTTTTAATTATGTTGGACACTCCTCATTAGAGGGAATGAGAGATCAGAGCGACGTCGCTTTCAAAAAGCCTCTTTTCTGGCTGTGGCTTTTCATATTGTACAATAAAAATGTCAGCCCTCCTTGGTCGTTTGTAATACAAGTCGTGGTGGATGGCTGCAATGCAAGCAGCATGCTGGGGGAAGGGCAAGCAGTCTGTCCTCCTTTAAAGGGATTTTTTTAAAGAGTCTTGATTAAAAAGTATAATGAGATACCAAAGACACAGCAAAGATGATGTCTCTGGAGACGGATGCAAAACAAATTAAGACACTGCGTTTTGTTTTTAATTATTATTTTTTCCATCAATCCTCAGAAAGCTCAGGATACCCTCAGGGCGCATGCAGGAGTTGGACTCACTGTCATTGATTTTTTTTTCTCCCCCTCCATAATACAGATTTTAATCATGTCAGCACACAGTCTTCTGATCCTTTCACGCCAAAGCCTCCCAGCACTGCACATGCATTTGATTTAGAAAATGAAACATTATCCGAGCAGAAAACCTGAGTACGTTCATTTATCATTCATCAAGTTTGTGTCAAAATATCCCAAAACGAATGTGGGCCTTTTTTGACGAAACATGCAGTGCTCTAGGCAAGGTGTATTCTGAAAGCTAACCTGAAGTAGCACACAACATATTCAGGCCACATGCTGTATTGCTATGGCAAGCAGGAGTGTACTGCCCAAAAGCCATCATTTCACGTGGTATGTAGGCCAGATGTGGGCTAAAACAATTTTAATATGGACATTAAAATGTATAAAGAAACAATTTGAGGTGTATCTAATGTTACTCATGCAAATTGCTAAGTAATTAAGATTAGCTGTGTGCAGTAGTAAAGCTGTGGTATGCCATGCCTTGGTGTAAAAGAATATAGGGAGCCATCTCCTTAAAAGATGCCATTGTTTTCCTCTGTTAATAGCAGAATGTTCCAGGAGAGTAAATGGGAGAGAAACCTGAGACTTGCGGAACATGAGAAAGAAATGCTCTACACTTGTTTCCCAGGAACATGGAGGATGAGAAAGATAGGATGAGTAAGAACAGGAATAATATAGAATCCTGGGAAGAAAGGTTCTCACAGACTCTGACCTTTATACCTTCACTGTCCACAGTTATTTCACCTATGCATCTATACGTTTAAGACAATAGGTTGTTGTTTTTTGTTCCGTGTTTTATTTTATTTGCTCATCTTATAATAATTCATCTGCTTGATGAATCAGCCTCACCGCCGATCTCACCGCCTCTCGTTTTCATTCCATCCATCACGCGACTGTATGTCATATCCATGCATACCAATGTCCATTTTAATTTATCATTCTGGGTCAGCGAGGACCCCCTCCTGTTCCAAGCAGTGGTGGGGCAGATGTGTGAATGAAATCATTTTTGCTATTATCCAAGCGAAAACAGGCCGTTGGAACCTTTGTGATGAGACAACAGCCGTGAGTGTATAATACATCTCGGTTTGACAGAGGGGATGCTTTTAGGGATGTCACAGGATAAATCACTCAAGATTTTTGCAAAAAAGTAAATGCATATGCTTTAAAGGGTTAATCTGGAGTAAAATAAATGCATTTATTTATTCCAATTATCATAACTCTGCAGGAAAGCAAATAAAGGATGTCAATACACATTTCTCTGGTATAACTGGTGAACTGCAGCACCTGAAGACTTGTCTGCATGACAACAAATTGCGGATCTGTGTATAGTCTCAGCAGACCTTATACTGCTGATAATCACACCACTCTTTTTGTTTTCACTTCATTACTCATTCTTTTATTTGAATCACTGGTAAAAAAAAACATTGATGAGGGCAGCAGCTCAGAGGTCTGGAACCAGGCGAGACTGTGGGAAGAAAGGAACATCTGCAATCACACCCGAGCTTTATAAATGCATCACTTTGGGCTCCATTCAAAGGCTTTTCCCCCCTAGAACATTCAGCTGTTGTATTTCTAATAAATTATACTTGGTTGCATATTCATGAGAGTGAATCACGAGTTTCAAAAGGACATTTCTGCTTAATGCCAAAACCAAATAAACCACCTCTAAAGACCCAAAGACCTGTATATTCATTGAAAACTGTCACTTTAACTCCAGTGTTGAAAATGGTGCTATACAGTAAACTAATAGATAGATGGATTGCCTTCATTGTCATAGAGGACAACAGAATATTTTCAGCAGTCCAGATACTGCATTCGCACATAACACAGCAAAGAAAAGAAAGATAATTCACCAAGAGGAAATCCATTCCTATAAAAATATAAATATTCCTTCTAAAAGCCCTATAGATAATACATATTATTTTAACAAATCCTATAAATACAAATATTCTGAAAAAAGACACATTGCACAAGATAAATTAAACACACTAAGAATGCATCGAAAAGGAGAGTGTTGAGCCACTGTGACTGTGCATGCTGCCATTGTAACAGAATGTTGTTCCACAAAGCCTTACAGTCAGTATCATTTCATCTGGAGACTCGCCTTGTATCACAAGTTAATAATTGGCTAATCAAGAGGACTTTAACCTCAGCCTGATTAGAAGATAATATTTTAAAGATTATATTATGATCTTTTATGACTTACATCAGATTCTGTATGTCATCCACTGTATTTAAACTGCAAGTGATCATCCTCCATGTTTTTGAATTTCATTGATTTAATGGCTTCTCTGCAGAATCTCAGAGAAAGAGAAGTGTCATATTGTGAGTCACTGTCCCACCTTGTGGCCAAATACAGAAATTATCAGGAAGGTTTGGGGTTTCCGGCTTAAAGTCAACAACATTTATAAAAGAGAAAACATGCTAATGTTCAGAAGAGTACAGCATTTTTCAATCAATACTGAGGAATATGAGTCAGAATATCCCATTGATTCTTTTGTAAATCTCCCAATTTAATCTGAAGATAATACTATATATGGAAAATATATATATACAGAAAATTTCCACTCACAAAAAGTATAAACGCTTGGCTCTTACATTTATCCATTCCTCTCCTTAATCAGCAACAAGTTCTCTTCCACAGGCAATGTAGCGCTTGACGTTAACTAGCGTGACGGGTGATGTGAACTTTCAGCTACAGCTGTTGATTAAGATGCATCAATCTGAAGAAATGAACATCTGGTTCTAGCGAGTGTCAGGGCAGACGACATAAAAAGCAGACATAGTGACATATTAACGTCCCACAGTGAAGAGGTTAGTATCAAAAGTATCCAGGTCAGTTTTATCACAATCACACTAAATTATTCAGATGTGACACAGACAGTAACGACCCCCCCCCCCCCCCAAAAAGTGTCTCAGGCTTCATCCACACCACAACGTTTTAGTTTTAAAAATGCACCGCTGCTGCGTGTACGCCTGGTGACCACATGACTCCGGTGTTTTCAAGTGCCTAAAACGGAGAAGTTTGAAAACACTGCTGGCCCCGTTTTAGTTTGAAAACTCCAGGGCTGTGTTTTAGTATGGACGGGCAGAAACAGAAATGTTTGGAAAAACAAACTGCATGTACTCATATAAGTCAAGACAAGATATTCCCTGTAATTTCATCATTGCTGCTTCACGTTCAAAAATATTTTCTGCAATTAAGCAACCAAACTGCAGAGTCTACAATCTGATTCCTGTTTACACTGGCACGCACATGCCCAGTGTACATCAATGGTCATGTGATATGTATTTTCTGGTCTCAATGTGGATGGAGATTATTTCTGATTCTGAGCTAAATCATTAGTCTGGACGGAGATTTTCATTCTTTTTTACAACTAAAACTTATCAGTGTGGATCTAGCCTCAGTCACTGTTGTAAGAGTGGACTTCTCTTCGTGTGAACACCCACCCATTGATAAGGCTGGGGGTGTGTTCTTCTACGGCACACTGTCGGTCTCCTCAGCCTCCACCAGGCAGGACTGGTCTGTCTCCAGGACTCGGAACGGAGGGTGGTACTCGAATGCCGTGAAGATGGTGGAGCCAAGATTGTGCTTTTGGCTCAGGAACCAAATAACCGCTGAGATTCCCATGATGGCCATTACGCTGAGAACGACCAGGGCCGACAGCAGCGCGCTGGGTTCTGAGGAGAACGGATTACAATGCAAGGAAGGTCTCAACTATAAACACAAAGAAAATCACAGAGGAATATGTAAAGAAACAAAGCTCAGGTCGACTTACTCTGCTTGGCTTCCTCTGCTTCTGAGGGGAAGAAAAACAATTTTGAGGCAGTGGAAACAATATTCTTAAGTCACACTGGTTCAAATTCCATCTACATACACATAAATCACTCATTTATTAAATGATTGACTCATATCTTACTCTGAACAATCTCACAGATCACGCCGTTCTCCACTTCATCCTGGCAGCTGACATTTTCCCACTTTCCTGTGTTGCTGTGCAGGGTCACGCACGTGTCCAAGGGCATGAGGTCTGACGGAGACGAGCTGTCCTCCCAGTTAGCGAATCCCACGGGGTCCTCGCCGAACCACCTCATGTCCTCACCTGTCAAGACACGCCAATCACTACTCCAGCATGACGGGGCAGCAGGAATAGCAAGCAAGTGGTGAAATTACACCGTCCGGCTTTTGCTTTGTCTTTGGGCCCCTTCTCTGGCATTCACATACAAACTGTGCCGAGCTGTGTTTCATCACAAATAACGTTCAAAGACAGTCAGCAATATGCAGCTTTATTTCCCCTGACTGCTTTAAAAAAAAACACAGGATTTCCCGAAGTGATGCCAGGATTTCAAAAGAAGGATGAGTCCGTGTTGTCACAGAAGCTTTGAAAAGTTGCTGGCACCAGCAGAAATTAGGAGACATACCAACAGATAGAGCAAAACGTAAACACTGAGCATAGTCATACCTCATGTCAACATTACTTCCTACTAGTTTACACTTGAATCCAGGGAGTGCATTGTCAAAGCAGTGTGTAAGTGCTGTGCAAAATGCTGTGAAAATGCCAACAGGTCATTATAATGTGATTGAGACATGTACTTGTCCACATAACACGAATAAGGTCAAAATACTCCACACGTTTAATAAGATTATTGCTTATCAGAGTATGACCTTATCAAGTTAAGGTAATCAGTAAATGCTGTTTACATCGACAGCACTGAGGCACTACAAGTCGGTGTATTTTCAATCGCTGTGAAAGGAATCATTATTAAAAGATGGAATTATATAATGTTTTTAACCTTTTTCATAGATTTAAATCTTCAGTAGGAGCCTATGGTTAGGAAGGTCAGAATGTTTTCATGTGATTTGTGGACAATGATAAAAATACAGAATAAAGTAAATCTCTTCCTCCAAATGTGATGAGTTGTTCACTTCCAATTTTAATATAGTAGCCTAAATATTTAGCATAAAGCTTCAGCAGACCATGTTCCAACAGCATAAACACAAGGCAGACAGTAAAAACAAATGTGCCCTTATACTGTGGGTTTTCACTATTACATTAGTCTGTTTTTGAATAATGTTGTCTTGATTTCCATAAATATTCATGTTTGTGTCGCTAATATTGATTATATCTGCGCTTTGTCAGGAGTGAGGTCATGTATGTTTTAAAATAAAAAATTGTGTGTTATGTTAATGTGCCTCGTGAACATTTTTTAGATAAATCTATTCAGAGTTCTCTCTCCAGGCTCTATTATTAATTTGCAGGCTCAAGCTTAAAGCTGAAATCGCAAAGAAGAATAGAAACATGTACATTATGAATCTTGAGTTAAAAAATAAATACATGTAAAACAAAACTGCAATGTTCAATGAGTTCCTTCAAACCAACAGTAGCTGATGAATCAGTCTTTCAGTATCTGATTGTCATTAATGTTCAGATTTGAACTAATGGAAGTTGTCCAGCATGTTACCACAGTCCCACGGTCACATGGTACTTACTGCTTGTGTCATAAAACATTCCCAGCCACACGTTGACATTGCCTTTCCACACCTCTGGGCTATATTTAATGACAAAGTTATTCTCCTCTGCACTCTGTATGGTCAGAAGCTCTGGGGGAATAAAACACAAAGCAGTGTTCAATATATCAACACACTGAGGATGTGGTGCATGTTTGTCAATTGATTTTGAAAATTGAAAATAAAACGTCTCATGTACCGAAACCTTGGCAGAGGGATTTTGCTCTCTCAAATGTGTAGCTTTTGATTTTGTCCTCCTCTCCGTGAACAAAGTGGTAACATCTGTCTTGAAAGGGCACCCAGGTGCGTCCATCTGCAGGGCAGTCTGAGGAGCGTCAGAGGGCAGAATACACTCATGGAAATGTTTGATATATGTCCCATTTACCTGATTTATTTAGAAATATATACAGGAAGAAATCTAACAAAACAACGTATGAAATACGACTTAACAAACCATTTTATGCTCAAAACATTTCTTTGGCTGAAGGCCAGCTAACACAATCTCACAACCATGAACATAGGGCTTTTCAAAGTGGGGTCCCCGGACCAATTAGGGTCCTTAAGGGGTTCCAGGGGGTCCATCCATGAGTTAGACACTAAAGCTGCTTTCAGACATGCACTGGACTCTGCAGACCCTCAGTATTTTCTCCTGAGGAGGTGCATGTGTATGACACAAATGTCCGAGTGAGACGCTCTCTAACTGGTACTTTTTTGTCACATTTTTTGAGACTTTTCTCAACTGTTTTTGAATTCAATTCGATTTGTTGCTGTTGTGAACATGAATTTGTTGAGAAAAATCCCAGAAAATATGCCAAAATAAAGTTACCAGTTAAGAGAGAAACTATTTTGGTCCTGTATTTTCTATACACTTGAAATAAAACATCTTAACCCAAGAATGTGGTCAAATGGGGGTGCCAGTTAAGGGGTTCTTGAAGTGCACAAGTTTGAGAACCGGAGCCCTAACAGACTGCACGAGCCTGTACTAATGTGATGACTCCACCTGTGAACTGGTACAACCTGTGTGAGCTGTTTGAAATGTCCCTCGTGAACTTGTTTGGAGTTTTTCTGCCCCATCAGGTTTGTCTCTGTTTTCCTTCTCAAGCTGCTTTAAAAACTTACACATCTGACTCTTCCCAGGGAGACTGAGATCTGCCACCTTCACAAAGTTCTACAACTATCTATACACACACACACACACACACACACACACACACACACACACACACACACACACACACACTATGTTGTGGGTCAAAAGTTGTGTGACTGTGTGCAAAACAAGTGTCGACACAGAGGAAATTTCGAATAACACACGCAGATGACGACGTGCAGCCAAACTCCACTGATATGTCTTATCATGTGAAGCCCTGCACGCACGCGCGCGCGCACACACACACCAACACACAGGCCTACACGCACACAACACACACAATCCGTCATCGTCACTTTGGGTTTAAAGCGTCTCTCACCTCCAGTCAGACCGAACTTCAGGAGGAGACTCAGCAGAAAGACGCAGCGCCACACGGATCCAAGATGGTGCTTCCTCCTCACAGGCTCCATGACAGCGAACACAACACTTCAGCCCCAAACTAGTTTTCAACAGATCCCTCCCACAGCCAGGGGCGCTGCCAGGAAGTTTGGGCCCTATGAAACAATATAAAAGTCCCCCCCCCCCCTCCAATATGGATGCATGCATATAAATTAGAAAAGGGTGGTTAGTTTAACCTGCTAGTAAAGGCATCCTCATTTCGATGGGGTGTTATTTTATTTAGATATATCTTGTAAAGGTCAACACTTCCTGTAGCTGTTTCAAAATAAACCTAATCTAAAATCCATTTATTTGTTTTTAAAAAGCTTGTATTCTGAATTAAAAGTTGACGTAAAGAAGTTCAGGAAAACAAAATTGCAAAATTCCAGAAATTTACAAAGAAAATATTGAAAAATACCCCACCCACCCCGGAAAATGGGCACAAACTACCCCCAATATATTGGGCTGACATTGGGCAAGAGGTGGGATACCATCGTGTTACATTCATACCTATGGTGAATTTAGAGTGTCCAGTTAACCTTATCTGCATGTCTTTGGATATAAATACCATCAAGGGGAGAACATGCAGACTCCACAAAGAAAAACAGAAAGAAAAAGAGTTCTTTCTCCAGTAAGAAAAGGTGCAGTGGCTCAAGCCATCCTTGATGTCTTTGTGTTCATGTGCCAACTTTTCCCTCGTCTTCCATCTACCTCTTAGCTCCTGATTTAAAACTTATCCTGCTGATAAATTAAACTTCATGCACGGACCAAAAAGGTTTGCACACAGGGTCCTCTGGATGGTGCTGTGTGCACAGTGTTCCTTAGAGGATGTGTATTGTGACACATCACACAAGTGATTTCTGTGAGCTGCTATAGTCACCACATTTAACTGGTTCTGTGGCTTCATTTTATTATAGTGCAAATCTAACTTTATTTTGAAATCACTGTCATATGTAAATATACTAAAAAGGAAATGAGTCTGTATCTAAATCACAGAAGACATTTATCTGGTTTATATACATTCTAAATCAGTTTATGGAAGCATTACATTTTTAGATCAATTCAATTCTTCTTCTTATCTATCCTTTATATAACTCTTTTTAAAGGTGATTTTTTTTATTGTTTTACATTATTTTTTACAATTGATCATGATTTCATATTTTATGTAAAACACTTTGAATTGCCTTGTTGTCAATCAATATTTTTACTTTTCAGGATACCACTGTATAAGATGAAGCACTTCTCCTTCCTCCTTTAATACCTGAGCTGGTGAAGGAGGGCAGAAGCAGCGAGCATCAGGGGCAGAATGGTTGTTGGGCACAGGGATGGGGGGGTTTCATGTCCAATGCCTATAGGCGCAGGTGGCGCAAACACAGACAGCTGGAGGGTGAGTTTTTCTCCTCGGCTAGAGCTGGTGGCTTCCCGTAGGGTGGCACCGACACCCTGCAGGATACCGTTGGGGACCCATCTGCCATGGCAAGGCCTGTTCACAGACGCCCCCCCCCCATCCACCCACCCCTACCTCCTGATACCCATTACTGTCCAGGCCATGCATGTTGTCAACAATACCATGTGACAGTGTCGTTAGAGTCCTCAAGCAGGTCCTCGCCCTCTGATAGCACAAAGATTCATAAACACTGATGCCTGCACCAAGCTGCATGCTCAGAGGAACATGTGAAGGAAAACATTTCCATCAGGAATATTGAGACAAGGCTGAGTTTGAGTGCTGTTATTATATGTGATGACATTCATATATTTGTTTAATCGTTAAGGACTGAAACTGATTGTTATTAAAATAGCATATGGGTTTGTTGCCATCAAACTGTACAGTGAAGACACCACATTTCAGAAGAAATGCACATCATACCTCCACACATTGGCTTGCAGCTGTAAGAGATAATAGCTTCTCATTAATTCACAGAGCGGACTCCTGAAGGACTGACTAATGTATGTGCAGTATATGTGTGTAGGGGATGGTCACTGTCATGTTAATGGAGTCTGGTATCTCAGAGAAAAGTGACAGTGAAGGGACCTTTGTGAGCTGCTGCTTTAATTAGAGTATTAAACAGATGTTGTTCCGTCTCCCAGATTTCTGCATTTCTGAACTCCAGTCCATTTAGAGAATCTTTATTCCACCTTATGTTTTAAATAATAAAATATTGAAATAAAAGCAGCAGCTCAGTGACAATGACCAATATCTTGGAATAATATGGAATACGATTATTCGGCAGTGGGCATGTAGTTACTTTCAAGCTGTCTCAATAAAGGATATTAATTAATACATACTTATTTTCCAAGTTACGATAAAACCAGAAGTACAAGAGAAAGTGAGAGGCGGTGCTTTGATTTTAGTCGTCTACCCTGACAATAACATATTAAAATGTACAGTTCAACTGTTAAAATATAATTGACTGATAAGCCATATAAAAGATGTAATTCCATCATTTTATCATTAAACAATACAAGGCTAATGAAAGAACAGGTTTACTCTGGGTTCATGATCAGGACAGCAGCTCGTCTTGAAAACAAACACCAGACTCACAACAGATTAAAAGGTGAAAATCTTTAAAATCTTTATTCAAAAATGTCAAAGAAATGAACAGAATAAACCTTAGGCAACAAGCTACTTTAAAAAAAAAACAGGTCTTTGGATTTAACAAACACTACAAAACAAAAATACAGAGGAAAGTTTCCTTAAACTGTACATACAAGTTACCACTGGCATCTGTGTGGCACAAGTAAAAAAAAGATACAACTTTCATCTAGCACTATGAAAATCTTTCTTTTCTCAAGCTGTCTGTACAAAAAAATGTCATAAATTAGAACTTTCTTTTCCTTGTATAACTTAATGACTGTTTAACATGATGGTTACCTATATAAGCTTTTTTCTCTGACGCACCTCTGCAACTCTTGATCCTGGTACTTATGGCACTTGGTTCAGACACCATTAGCAGCATAAACCTCACATAACAGTATAACTTCTCAGTCTCAGGCATTACATCTCAAGTATTGCGGCCCCTCTGTGTGTTGCACACCCGTTAGCTTCAGAGGAAATGCTGCTGCGTGTTTGTCTTGACCCAAACACAAAGCAACAGACGTGTTTGTTTAAAGGAGCACAGATCCAGTGAACGCCACAAAGCTTCGCTGTCATCGACGGCCTCAAGAGATCTTAGATCAGCGTCTGAAATCTATTGTTATAAAAAAAAAGCAGCAGCTCTTTTGGAACTATAAAGCTGAATGTGTGAACATCAGGAGAAAAATGTCGCTGCCCCACCCGCCAATGACTACATTAATAACATCTTTAAGAAAATAGGTCTGATGCAAATCACAAAAAAAGAAAAGTACTCAAAAACAACCTGAAAGGAAACAGCTGTTTGTGGCCAGCTCCTGAGCGTGGCATTTGGTCTGGAAGGGTGGGCTGGACCTGCTAACCCGACCTATTACAGAGGAGAAAGAAAACTCTGAGGTAGATAATTGGTCAGACTGACCACCAGGTCGAATCACAGGCTTATTGGAGGACGCCTTGATCAAAAAGCCAACGTTAATGATTGAATATAATGTTGTTTTAGTGCTATCATCAGCTTTTACAGCACTGCCCTTTCATTGTTTCATCTTTTAAGCTAATTTTTTTAAATAACGTTGCATTTTCTGTCCGCGTGAAATTCATCTGTGGCACTTGTTGGATCTAGGCCTTCCTTCATGCTCGAGTGTGTGTGTCTGTACTCTACTGATACCTGTGAAAACTGAATGTTAATGTACAAAAAAAGGCACACTGTCCGCACTGCAATTTAGTTTTGCGGAGTCACTTCTGTCCTGGTTTAAGAGACAAATGATGCTATTTCCTCAGTGTACTATAGCTCACAATCTTTGGTGAAGTAAATTACAATTGAAAAGTGCCAAGTTTTTGTTTACTATCAAAGAGCGAGGTGATATAAAATACACGTACTAATCTCACGTTACCCCTCGACTCTGTTCTAATACAAGGCTCCGATGAGTTTTTTTTTTTTTTGCACAATCATCTGTGTTTTCCTGTTTGTTTGTTTTTCCAAATAAAAGTGAAAAAGACACACCTCATAAAAAAAAATCACAATTAATATCAATCCGAAAAAGACAAAAGCATAGACCGACAAACAAAACAAAATAGTCCCCTGTCATCCCTCCCCCAACCCCACCAAGATCCATTTCAGCTACTCTGCAATACCAAGTATTCAAAAAGGCAAGGTTCAAAAAATGGTGATCTTTCAGAAGAATGTCCTCATCTGACATCCAGACACATGAAGGGCATTCTTACTGAATAAATATTACATCCAATAAAAGCATCCGATGTGGAGTCATTTCATTCAAAATATTTCTTTCTCTACAATAAAGTTTCTATCAGTTCTGTGAGTTTTTATTATTTCTTTATGTCGTCTATGGCCGGTTCAAATGTTTTGTGTATCATCCCCTCTCCATGGTGGTCTGTACAACTACTGTATCAAAACTATTAAGGCAAATTGTAATCAGACAGCAAGATCAATTCCAAAGTTCTAAAGAGAAATCACTTTACAAAAAAACAACAACAATTAATACTTCACCATAGCAACACTCACACAGCAAGCACAAAAACATCATTTTCAAAATGTCTGGCTTCAAAAGAAATTGTCTGAAAAAAAAATCTGGAAATATGAACAAATGACATATGAACTATCATGCACTTGAAACAACTTGTCTTTTCTTGTCTCCTGCAGCAATCCTTGGTAAACAATAAACATTGTAGTATCAAAATAAAACATTTTCAAAACTTGTTTTTTTTATTTTAAATATAATTTGAATCATTTGATTAACTCTGAAAAGGATCCCAAAAAATAGTCTCACTTAAACGTTTGCAGAACCTGTGCAAAACAGTGAAAAGATCCTCAGCTCCCCCATTGCATTTGTAGACGTGATTGCTTCAGCTGTTGTCCGAACGTTACCTCAGCGCTACTTGGTTTGTTGGTATGGATATGGGGAGTGATTTCTGGAGGAGTCCACTTGTGACTGTCCACCATTTTCCTGGAAGACAGAGTGAGATAACTCTGATTCTTTGCCAATGAGCTGTTGTTTTACATGAAGATAATGCTTAATGCTATATTAAGGCAGCATTGATGTTAAAAACGTACCTCCACAGGAACAGTGGCTGTCTGCATGTGTGCATACTGTGGGATGTATGCTCCTTGCATAGCTGTGTTGGCAGCCATAAACTGCACGATGAAGAAAAAAGAAATAGTCATGATCTGTGCGTTTTACAGTTTAATGAAACACATTTAAATATCATATTCTGGAATGGGTATAATGTGTGAAGTCATGTCTGGTTCAAGGTCTCACCGTTCCTGCGTTACCCAGAGAGAGGTGACTCATCTGCTGCGCAAGGGGGGCCATCATGGAAGTAGGCTGCAGTGACATAGATGGGTCCATAGAGGGCGATATCACTGTACCCTTGAGGAAAAGAATATGCAGGTGAGGGGCTGGGATGCAGCTGGTGGAGTAGTGTCTTTCTTCTTGTGAACTGTGAGTAATAATGGCTTTGGTTCCGGATGAAGAGAGGGTTGACCAATTAAAAGCATGTTGATGGTTTGATCCCCGGCTCCTCCAGTCTGCATTCCGAAGTGCCCTCGGGCAACATAATGAACCTTAAATTGACCTTGATTGGCTGTGTTGACAGTGTGTGAATAGTGTGTTATAGAGAAGTGTGTGTATGGGTGTCTGTGACAGACTAGTGGATAAGTAGCGCTGAATAAATACAGTCCATTTGCCAGTTTGATTTCAGGAAAACAGAAACTGAATGATGTCAGCAGAAGGTCGGAGCATGAGTTTTACAAGTTGAACAAGTCGACCATGAGCAACTTGGCTGACCTGACCCATCCAACATTTTTTTATATCTTATATATATTGGCTCATTTTCAAAGAAATTAAATTCACACCCATCTGTTATGAAATATCCAGCCTCTGTCCTCGAATACTCATCTTTTTATAGACATACTCACGAGTTTTTACATTCTTGAACTAACACTTCAACATAGTAAATTCTCAAAAATCAGTGTCACCTTATGTGCAACTATTACTATTTCATATTGTATCATCTACAGAAAAATACTAGACTAATTCATTGGATATGGTCAAAGCGTTTATGATCGATGCTCCTACTCTCTGACCTCACATTAACAGTATTTTAATGTTGTTTAATGTTCTCATTTACTGGTTTTACTGTTTTTGTTGTCAGACAATGGGACAGGTCATAAAATAGTGACTGAAACATGCACCGTAAACACCTCATGTTTACCACTGGTTGCGTCAAAGCTATTTTCATGCTTCTAAAAGTCTCTACCCTGACACAAAATCTGTGCTGTGATCTCAGCTGTATTTACTTGTAAAATGACCAATCAGAGAGGATGCTAGGAGCTTATTCACGTATATGTCAGCTGCTGTGAGGTTTGTCTAATAAGGATTAGAGCCTCTTTGCAGAAGAAAAACAAAATCTGGAAATCTTGTAACAAATTAGCTTGTAAACTCTCCCCAAAAAGAAACAGACAGTCAGTGAGCAACTGTCGTACTGAAGAGAAAATGAAAAGAGAAAGGTGATGAGAGGATGAATAGATTTTGCTCTTACTGGGTGCTGCATGATGTACTGTTGATGAGGCACCCAGGATGGATTCTGCACCTGGAACATCACACAAACACTCTCTGTAAGAACTCTGGTTGGTTTAATTGGCACAATATCTAGGATGAAAGGCCACAGTTTCCTATGTAACATTTAAGCTACAATTCTGAAACCCTTAAAAGGACCAGTTTCTAAATCCTGATGACACATTTCTTTATAAACATGAAAGTTGGGTAACTACATGTACAATTTCTATATCAAATGTTTTTTTAAAGTACTGGAAATATAGCTTTTTATTACAGCTAAATCTACATAAATGAAATGAGCAGCAAACCTGGTATGTTGAAACTGGAGACATGTAAGGAGACATGGACGTCTGAGCAATCATCCTGTTTGAAATACTGTATGCAGGTGGGAAAAATCTGTGGACACGGAATAAAGTGCACTTCATTAAAATACGATTTTTTGTAAAATAGATACAGTGAAAATATATTGGCCACAGCTATGCAATCTAATCTGCTGTTGTAACTTACCCATTCTGCATAGCAGCTGCACTGGGATCGTAAGTGAGTGTCATTCCAGCCTGGGGGAGAAAAACAGCACAGGTTTAGCAACGAAACTGATGAATGTAACTCAAAACAAACACAATAGCATTGTGCTACAGTTTCGACAGTTTATTGTGTATCTATAACACTCAAAGTTGAGGGAGGGAACCATTAACTACACAGGAGAATTCACAACAGAGAGTGTAACCACTTCAGATGCTTCACAGATACAACACTGTACGTGTAGGTTGTAATATGTGTTGCTGTGTGACAGCTGAAGCTGTTGTTTGTCATCAACACCTGACGTTTATCCTTCATTATTCATATATGCACCTAGATTTCTTCCAATCAGCCACTCTGATCTCTCAATCCACCACTTACCAGTCTTGAGTCACTGTCTCTCGCCCAGCCCCGACAATTCTGTGCAAATTTATTCTGACTTCTCTTTTTCTGCCCACCATCAGCAAACTTGCACAGCAAGGGTTCAGAGGGTACTGAGGAGAGAGAAAAGTACAAGAGAATAAAAAAAAATGTTGTCTTAGACTAAGACTATCACACAGATCATTCTGTTGTTGCTCGCTATGCAGTCATTCACTCCCTGCAGCCTGGGAGTGTACATTTACAAGGCAGCCTGGGAACACAGACATCTAATTTGGCAGCTGTGGAGCTGTAATCCCCTCTGCTTCCTAAAGGAGGCGAGGCCAGCAGAAACTATTTCAGTCTAATAATCCAATTAAAAAGCTTATAGAGGGAGTGGAGGCCACACAGAGCTGCTCTCTCTCTCGTTTTCTTTGTCCAGGCTCTGCCACTTAAAGCTGAGTGTATATGAGCTCTGTACCAGCAGACTCTCTGACTCCTGCTGAAAGCATGAATCAGTTGGCTGACCACTTCATCCTGTCTATACAGCTCCACCTATTAGGACTGTGCACATTCTAATCATTAAAAGACAAATCCTGCTACTAACCCCTTCACACATATTCTTTTCACAATATGACTATTAAACTACATCGTTTTACATTACATTTCTGTAGTGTATGTCTGCAAATATAATTAAAGAGTATGTCTTACCTGGAAAACCTGGGGCTGTCTTAATAAACTTTCCATTGAAGTGAGAAATGACTGCATCGCACTTTTCAGTTGACTCCATCCTGTTGAAGTTAAAAAAGACAAACAGCATTAACCACATCGGTAGTAATGAGGGTGAGCAGCCTTCATAGATCTGTTTACTTTTCGGGTGGATAGAAAAGGTGGATCAAAGTAGTACGATTATATCTGTAGTGTACATACGGTATGTCATGGAATCAACTGGAATCGCACTTGCGTAACCGGACGTTTGACAGAAACAAAAATATCATAATGCATCTCTGGAACACACACACACACACACACA